ATAAGTACTATAGATGCCAACAAAAACAAAAGAACTAAGCTCTTAGATAACAAGAAAATTTTTGATCTTTTTTTATATCTAGAAGAAAAAAATAAGAAAAACATACTAAGTTTTTCAAATAATAAAAACACTACCACCTCTGAGCAAAAAGATAACAACTGAGCAGACAAGGTTGAAGCAGAAATGTTTGACAAAAGCAAAAACAAGCAAATAGATTATGTAAAGGCCTCTTCAAGCAAAAACAATGAAAGCTCTATCTCTTCTCTTGAAAAAGAACAACAAAATAACATATGAATCATGACATAAACAAAAATCATATGAGAGAGCCAATCAGTTCAAGCGCAAAAACTGCAACTAAAATTAAGCTACTTGACTTTACAGATAGTCCTGAAACTAACAGTCATGATCAACTCAAACCTAAATGATGATCAGACCTGTTTACTAAACTCAGAGGTAACAAAGCCATATACAAACAAAAGATTCCCAAAAACAAGATCTTCTCCAAAAATGAAAACACCCTAGTCTTTGACATCTAAAGCCTAAACAATATATCTACAAATAATATCATTCTATCCTTAGCAAATTCTCTTAGTGAGGATCTTTTAGCTGCCAAACTTCATTTTAGCAGAAGAAAAAGAGTCTACCTAAAAGTAGTTTTCAAAAATAAAACTTAATAGCAGTACTATACAACAGAAAGAATTAATATATTCAAACAAATAATTTTCAGATACATTCCTATTAACTTAAAGAGAAGCTTTCTCTCTGTTAAAATTAGAAACATACCTCTAGAAAACAAAAACCAGACTAATAAACTTCTCTTAGAAACCTTCCAAGATTTCAGAATCATTTTCTTAGTTAAGTCTCTACTCTTTGAAGGAACCTCAGTTTGTTCAGACTAGTAGATTGTCTTATTCAAGACAACTGAAGACCCAGATCTTTCTAAAAGGCTTCCAAGAACCATATATATTAGTGACTACAAAGTTAGTACTAAATGGAGAGAAGCTTCAAAAATAAACTATTACTATGAAAAAGAAAGCTATGTAAAGAAAGATTGTGGGGAGTTAAAAGATACAATTGCTTTATGTGCATATTACAAAGAATTAAAATTACAAAAAGAAAAAAATCATACTCACTCTTAGACTTAGTCAGATCTTAGCTCAGATAACCCCTACGTCTAAGTTCAGACTGAACAAGAATTGCAACCTATAGCATCTAAGAAGGAAATCTCTACTCCACCAACAAAGATGGCTAGTGAAAAAAGAAACTCTTCAAACCAAAATCATATTACAAAAAAAATAGAGGACAACAACTCAAATCTAGTACAAAAGATAAACACTTTATCTCTTGATTCAAAACCTTTCAAACCAGAAAGTAAAACTGCAACAGCAGATATACAAAAAAACAAAAAAAGGAAGAATAAGAAAGGAATATATAAGAATAGTAATAACAGAGGCAACTACCTCTAGACAAGGCTCTTCTTCTTATTAGATCATATCATAATTAATAATAACAACTTAAAAACAATTTCATTCAATTATGAAAAAAATTACAATCGTAACTCTCAATGTAAAAGATCTAAACAACAAGGCCAAGATATATAAAACTCTAATTCTTTTAAAATCATATAATCTAGATATTATCATACTTTAAAAAATAAACCTTAATGATACAAACTCCAGAAATTTCCTAGCTTAGTAATAGAATTTCAATTCTTTTTAGTCTTCAAAAATAGCAATTCTAGCTAGCAACAAACAAACCAAAATCATTGAAGTAAGAACCTCTTTTGATGACTAAGTAATCCAAACAAAAATCTCTTATAAAAATAATACTTTCTTAGTTACCAACATATATGCACCTTCAAACCTAAGAGACAGAATTAATTTCTTCAATAGCTGGTCTTCAACAATCGATAAAGACTATATAAACCTTATAACAGGAGATTTTAATGTAAATCTAAACCCTTATAGAGACTGAATAAGCCAAGCACTAATACAAAATAACCCTTTAAGAGAGCTAGTCAAGAACTTAATAATAGATTTTACTGATATAGCAGAAACTTCAACAAATAACCTCTTCTTAACTTTCTATCAAAATATCAGAAATAACTACAAAATAGCTACAAGCTTGACTACATATTCATAGACTCAAATGACAGCTTTTTAAAAAAAGAAGCATAAACATAGTTCGGCAACTCAGATTACCTTCTCATCAACTGTACTATCAGTTTTAACTCAACCTCTGCACGTAGTTTCTTATAGAGATTCAACTCAAAATCTCTTTCCAACTTAGAAACTAGAGATGAAGTTCTCAAAGAACTTCAGAGAATTGAAAACCTTGATAAATTAGACCTGTATAAATACATAATCCAATCAATAATTAGAACAGCCAAACAAAACTCTTCTTCAAAAAAGAAGATTCAAATTCTGCAGAGAAGACTAACAGGCATAAGCAACTGAATGACTAGAGATTACAGACTTATAGATCTTCAATCTACACTTGAAAAAACCAAAGCATAGCTTCAAGATGAACTACAACTCCTCTCAGAGAGTTGGCAAATTAGATCTAATACTAAATAGATTAAGGAAGGGAAGAAATTTACAAAATACTTTTTTGTCTGATACAAAATTAGATATGCAACATCTGGTGGCTCAAAGATTAGAGATCCAAATCATTCTGGCCTACCAGACATAGCCAACACTTTATTATATATCAAATGCTACTATGAGAATAACTACAAATCAGAAAGTATTAATCTCCTAGTAGCAGAGGAACTCTTACATAACACTCCAAAAATCTCAAAAAAAATGCAAATAATGCATTAATTAAAGAGATAACAGAGGAAGAAACCAAATCAATAATTGACAAACTTCTAAATAACAAATCTTTAGACTCAGATAGGCTCACATATGAGTTCTATAAAACTCTAAAAGAAGCTCTAATCTCAATTCTTACTAAGCTCTTTAACTAGATCTTGCTAACAGGACTAATCTCATACTCTTGAAGTAAGAACTTGATTATACTTATTCTAAAGAAGTCTGATAACTTAGAGAACATAAGCAACTAGAGACCAATTTCTCTGGTTAACAGTGATACTAAAATTTTTATGAAGATATTAGTGAACTGACTAAATATTGCATGTGACGAAATCATCAATTCAGCTCAACAGATATTTGTCTCTAGAAGATCTATTTCTGATGCTGCTTTGGATATTATAACAGTACTAGAAACTAACCAGATTAGTTCAAGCAACACTGGCTCCTCTTTTTAGACCAACAAAAAGCATTTGACAGAGTTAGCCATCAATTTATACAACTAGTCCTTAACAAAATAAGCTTTGAAAACAAATTCATTAAAATTGTAGCCTCACTTTTTGCCTCTCAACAAGCATATATTTTAGACTCAGACAACCTCTCAGAGTCCTTCAAAGTCAAATGAGGAGTAAGACAAAAAGACCTCCTTTCACCTCTACTATATATCTTAGCAATTAATCTCTTAATCCAATCTATTCAAGAATATATTAGAAGCATAAATATCTTAGGATCTACTTTCAAAATAGCTGCTTATGCAGATGACCTCACTCTTAGAGCAAGCTCTGTTTCAGACTAGAAGACTATTTTATCTCTTATCAACAAATACAACTAGCATTGAACTTTAAAATTAATGAATTCAAATTAGTGCTAATACTACTTATAGAAAATACACACTATGTAGAATTACAAAACCAAGACAAATTCAAGATATTTTAGCATGATTCAGATTCTATCAAGATTCTAAGATACAAAGTAGATCTGAAAGGCTTTACTAAAAAAGATCTTTAGCTCAACATTATTAAAACAATTAAAACCAAGATTGAGAATATATCCTCAAGAACCTATTACTAAGAAGCAAAATTTTAATCACTAAATCTCTTTTAATCTCTAATCTTTAAAATCTAGTATGCAGTCTACCTGCTCCTACCTAGCAGAAAACAACTCAATGAAATTGACAAAATTGTTACAAACTGAATTAAGAGCAAGTCAAGACTCCTTCCTCGATACTCAACCTTTTAGCTTAAAAGCAATCAAGAGGATTAGAAACTTCTATCCTTAAAAATATCCTAGATTCCAGACTAACTTCTGTATAGATAAAACTCCTTACCTGTAACTGCTTCTAGGCAAGAGTAGAGAGAGATCTAATATCAAACAAGATGCATATGCTAAGAAATATATTAGTGCTTACTACTCTTTCTCAAATAATAATAAAAACAAAAAGATAGCCAGAAAGATGAAAACCTTACCTAGTAGCTTGAAAGAAGCTTAAAGACAAAATTACTGCAGATACTAACTAGCCATAGTCTTCTAAAAACCTAGAAATTGACAATTTTACAGAAGAAGAAATCAAAGTTAAAAAAGCTACAAAACTACTTCTTTTACTTTATTCCTTAAAAAGAGATACTTATATCTAAGTAAACCCCAATACTAGTCTGAATAGTAGTTTATAGATAAAAACAAAATTTATCTTAAACTAGAAAATAATATATTTTGGTAGCTTGTTTATAAAGTACTACTTCTTGGCTACCACCTAAGATATATTTTTCAAGAAGACTCAGAATCCTGTTCTAACTGCCAAAATACTTTATAGACTATTGAATACTTTGCTCTTAACTGCAAAATCAGTAAAGCAATTTGGAAAATAAGCTATAACACACTGAAAAGACCTGATAATAAACCTATCCCTTAGATTGTAAGCTAACGCAGACATATTTGCCTACATTTTTGCATTCATTCAGCTCTGATTTACTTTTTTAAAATGCAAAAATATTAAAAAAATAATTATAAATAATAAAATTTGAAAATAAGGATTATCTTTTTGCAGTATTTGTTTTTATATTATAAGAAAAAAATTTAGAGTTATATATGAGCTAAAAATAGCTAATTTTAGAAAAAAATTTTTGCAAAAATTTTGTCAGTATTTCAAGGCGAACTTGTTTAATTTAAGTTTTAGAAGTATAATTTATTAAGCAATTTAATAAAACTTTTAAAGGATTACAACTTTAATTATTATAACTTTTGTAATTTATTTGTAAAAATTTATACTTGTATTAGAAGTAAAAATTATTTTTAGCTTCATTTATATATAAAATCTGAAAAAATTTGATTAAATTTTATAGTAAAAATTTTTAAAACAAAACTTTAAAGATTTATTACTCAAAAGTTTTATAATAATTTTAAAAATCTTTCTTAACAAAGTTGTTAAAATAAATATTAAAAAATATATTTTACTTAGAAAATATATATTTAATATTAATATTTAAAGTTTTATTTAAAAATTACAAAAATTAAAAATAAATACAAGTAAATTTGTTTGTATTACAAATTAAAAGATAGTAAACTCTATTTATTTTTAGAAGTATATTATTATAAATTAAATTATACCAAATTGATCTAAACTTAGAAGTATAATATAATATTATTTGAACAATAATATTATAAAAAAATATATACTCTCTCTATAGATCATTTGAATCAAATTCAAAGCTAAAGAAAAATATAGAAAACTTCTAAACTTAACTAAGAAACTAATAGAAGTCTACTAAGAAAAGAGATTCTAAATAAAGAAATATGCTAGATATAAAATCAAAAAGAAAAACAAGCTATTTTATCTAGAAGATATAGAAGAAAAATATCTTTAAAAAAATTTTTTATTACTTTAAACAACAATTTTTAAAAAATAGCTAAACTCTAAAAAATTTGATTATATTTATTATACAAATTTTTAAATTAGACAAACCAAATTAAAAACAAATTATGTAAACAAAATTTACATGATATATAAGAAGATATAACTATTAGTATAGACTATATGCAGCTATATATTATACTAAAACCAGACAACTTCTAGAAGCTACAAATTATATACTAAGTAAACTCAGATAATTTACTAGCTAGATTAGATTAACTACAAAATTAAGATAAATCAAAAAGATTAGATAAATTATATAAAATATAGAAAGTTCAAAATATTTTATTAAGAAAATAACCAAAGAATATGAAAAAAAAAATTATATAAAAAAGTAGCTTATTTGTGTTAGAACAAATTGATAATCTAGATAAAATAGTAGTAAAAGTAATGAATATCAACAAAGATTGTATTACTTTAGTAAGATAGTGATATACAGTAATAGAAAGAATAGCTTTTTGTAAATAAATAGATAAAAAGTAGTTTTAGAATATATACAAGAAGTAAAAAATATATAACAAGAAAAACTAATAGAAGAAATAAGAGAAGTAGAAATAAGAGTAGAAAGTATAGTACTAGTATTAGTAAAAAAAATATAAGAGCTAAAGCTTATAGAAAATACAACA